TGCTGAATTACAGAACTCCAAAAGCCACCACAACCGATGAGTTGCACTGCTCAGCAGGAGGTGATAAACTGACTGCCAGTTTGGTAGTGTACACTGGACGGACAACGAAAATCAACTGTGCAGATGTTCCGAAAGAAAGCGCCCATGCACACCGATTTTGTTCAATGGGTAGTCTGCATTCTATCGTTCCGTACAGGAAACTAGATGTACGATTGTGACATCAATCCTGACTGAACGAGAACAGTTCAACAAAAGCGTGAGTTTTTCTCTATCTCAGTGAAACATTGGAGCCCTTGAAAGTGCTAAGATAGAACACGTCCCCTTCAGCAAACGAATTGGGGTTAGAGCTAAAAACGAGGAATCCGAAGAATGTTCAACGTCTAAAACAACCGAAATTAACGGGTGACAGGGAATACAAAATATGATGAGAAGCTCACTTGTGTGCCAAACACATCACCTGTCCCGTGGCGAGACGTGCGGCTCGGGCTGTCGCACCCGGGTTCCATACGGTGTCCGAATCGACACCGAGACCGCCACAGGGCAGTTTGCACAACCGTGGAGACAGGGTGAGTTTAGCCCCGGTATCACTTTTGCGTCGTCCGTTGTTCAACGAACGATACAACAATTCCAGTGTTGGTGGCGATGGACTGGAATCGATTTGTGTGGAGAATCGCTTGTTAGATGAGGTTCGACCGAATGAGAATATATGATCGTCGGAGTGAAAAATGCGCAATTCTTTCTGTGTTGACAAAGAGAACATGGGAACATACGAGAAGCATTACAACGAGCGTCACTGGAGGGCTACTACAACGGATAGCAACCGGTAGAAAGTGAACAATAAAAAAACGGACAGGGAGAAGAAATCCGATCGATGATGAATAAAAACAGATATAATTATTGAGCATAATCGGATGACGAAAAAGGTAGCATAAATGACCAAATCCGATCGACATTTGTATCACTTCACTGTCCCCAGAAATAACCCCTTGCTGGGAAAAAATAATGTTAGACCCAATCGTCATGAGTTCACACACAAATAAAAACCTCATGAACGTGTACTGATATCGTTTACTTCAAACACTTTTCCAATGCAACCGTATGAAGCCTTAGCACTCTCTCTTTCCAACCATAGTTCGAGCTGAGTATTATCTCGTCCTTTGGCAGACAATTTGACCATATCGCGGATAGTCCAAGGACTCCGTTTGCTTAATCGGAACTACAGTGATTTATGGTGCGGTATCAAGTTGGATTGACAAGGGCTTCGAATTTTCATATGTTGCTCCGTATTCGTATGTCACTCGGAACATCACTAATGCGCCTGATGATAACTTGAAGTATAGTAGTATCCTCGACAAGGGTTATTAAATCGCTCGCGAAATATATGGATTTTCAATGGACATGCCACAATGTGCTTGAAATTTATAATAATTTGCTAGCGAATGTTGACTCATTCAATTAAATCCCGGTTGAAATAGCGTGATTGATAGCGGGCACCCCTATTGAACTTCTGGTATTTAAAGAATATTCCATTAATTGCTCTACATAAGGGCGGGCAAGCAAGCCGATTTCTGTGTATTTTGACTCCGCGTTCCGTTCGTCCTCTGTGCGGTCCAAACATAGACTGAGTCGAAGATCGCGCAGAAGTAGATGAAACAGATTGATGCCGGCTGTTGAAAAAAATGCAATAGTCGGCAAAAGATATGTTCGACACAGCCACTTCTAGGAAAGTCACTGTTTGTGGCCACTGGGCTCATAACTTGCATCGAAGACCTGACTTGGTGGGAATCAACAGATAGTCAAGTGGGTCTCCTTTCGTTGCTGTTGGGCCACGGGTAAACAGACTTTACCTGAGGTGCTCGAATCCCGTAGTCTTGAAGACCAGCCAGATGAGACCGGCAAAGGCAACAGTTTTCGCATCGATTGTCGAAAGCAAACTACTCAAGCACGAGGCGAGTATGATTATCTACACATCACTATACAGAGATGAGGAAAATATCGCATATGTGAACCGTTCGATTAAACTCGGTAGACTGTTGCAGAACTCGTTTTGACAGCGTTGAGACATACAGTGAGATGACTGAGGTGTATTTTAAAGCTACTCTCAAGAGTGTCAAGGCAATCCTAGGAGAAACAGGCTTCTATGCCGAGAAAACAGTAGCGGTATGCAACCAGCACAACGTCCGAAATCGACAAGCCGCACAGCAAACAACTGGATTGGAGTGTACAGCACGGATCTTATTTACGTGGAATCTGAGAAACAGACGAAACTGGTGTAAACAGGCAACAATAGACAAAACAGCGAACATGATTGTAAATCCCAACTCCAATAAAAGTTCCAAACACTAATCTCAATAGAAACTCGCGGGTAAACGACGCACACGGAAAACCGGTCAGCAACGTGCACTATACGGAGAAGGCATAACGGAATGACATCAAGATATTAGTATTTTGCGAGCTTCTGTGACGGACGCTCTCTCTCTCTCTCTCTCTAATCGTTCGCTCTTCACGTGCATTCCGTGCACGTGACGTCCTGTCGAACATTAGCAGATCTCGCGTTTACATTTACAGAAGGAAACAACAGTTTCTACTCCCGATATAAAGCCGTTCTCTTTAGTGATACTATTACGATCATTCCCTCTCACGAAATGCTTCAACAAACGCACACACACACACACACACACACACACAATCCGTCACCGTCTAAACACCATGCAATCAATACGGATTCGCGTCTTACTAGATACACGAAACGTCAGATTTGTCCAAGTTGTCACTAGATCTGTAGTGTTTTGCATAGTGTTTTTCCTCGTCACAAGAGAAGGTTTCTAATGCATTATTAACTAGAACAAAAGTAACCACACTAGGGTATATATATATATATATATTCTACGTTTGATGTTAACGTCTGATTTATTGATTGCAATGACAGTCAGTGGTGCATCAATTATAAGACAACTGAGAATCGGTTTAAAAGTAATAGTGCAGTACGTATGAAAATGATGGATAGAAAAAAACAGCTAGTGTAGATTCATTTTTACAGGATATCGTGCGCTCTCATTCCTTCTGCACAACTTAAGTCAGTCGTTTTTAGTGAACTTTGCCGGGTTACGTGAAACTCTCTAATCTTCAACATTTTATTCGTCTTTTTTTATTCTTACTTCTATCGAATGCCTAATGACCATTTTCAAGAAAGGGAAAATGGATAATCAAAGGGCTGTCACAAGATATTTCGAGCCATCCTCAAACTCGGGTTATTTGGTTCCAAATGAATGAATTCCTTTTGGTACTTAGAAGTCAAAGTAGATAAAGGTGAACTCATGAAAAGCACATGTTCACCAGTGTATCTTGCTGTAAATGCCCCTCAGAATCTGATTATAAAAGTCTAGTAGTGGTTATTTGACCCATGATAGAGGTGTCGAAGCATTTCCATTGGACTCGTGAGTCGAATAATACAAACTGATGATTTCAATGAAAAATCAGTCACTTCAAAAGCACTGATGATGTCATTTCGGCTGGTGATAGAACGTTTGAAAATAAATTGCCAAGCTCAGCGAACAGGTGAAATGGATTTCAGTTCACCCGAACTACGGCAACCAACTTTCAATATTTTGTTAACCTTAGGATCTATCCACCACCGTACTCAAGACATCTTGTCGTCGACACGACCTGTATTACGGCTCGAAAGACAGGTATTTAATCGATTGGACAGTATGGCACCGAGTACCGAGGATTTTGAGTACATCGCAGTTCAATGCCAGGAACCCGGCAAATTTATATGCGGTGATAATGTAACTTTAGCAATTAATGGAAATACGATGACCGAGAAAGCTGCACAGTAAGTGAACAACCATTCTGATATGTGACCTCGGAATTTGCTTACCCGTATCTGTCG